CCCAAAAAAAAAAAAAAAAAAAATCCTAACATGATACATTGTTGGCACTGCAATAGTGTTTCCAATCCTTAAATGTCTGCATCCTAACATGATCTATAAGAAATTTTTTGGACATTTCTGCATCTAAATGATGTAAATCCTTATCAATCTGTACAATTAACTAGATGTCGTACTTGTGATTTTAAACATTTTACTATTGTACCAAAACTTTGATTTTGCACCAACAATAAAAACTTCAAAGTTGTCTAAATCGATTGGCCCCTATTTGGCCCCCCATTTCTAAAATTGATTTTTCCCCAAACTCATTTTCGACCATACATTTTATAGGATCCACAACCTTTATCAACTTTTCAACTACACATTTCATAAACTTTCGAAATGTGAGACGACAATAGAGGTTCTCTCACTTTCAGAGTTGAGGTACAGGCCCATAGATAGGATGCAGGTTCATTTGATTTGCACTATCAAAATCTACCAAAAATTAGGGCTTAATTAGGTTGAAATTTTTGCAAGCCCAAATATGGACATTAGAAACTCAAATGTTTAAATGCATGGCAAGTTTTGTATATGATGGCCAAAAAATTATTTATTTACTCACGTTGGCTTATGTGGATTATCTCTTTGCTTGCAATTTGACAGCTAATCAAGTAAACCCAACATTCGTACAATACGCAAAGGATTTAAGAGCGAGGACATTTTATTTTTTATTTTTTTGAGAAGAGAGAAGCATGAGATCCTTTCTACGGTTATTCATTATTTGTTACAGTTAAAACCTTCCAATAGTAAGTGAATCTAGTTCTCGCATCGGAGGCAACTACTATAAATATGTGCGTGTACTTTGGGGTTTTCTGGTATTCTTTTGCTTATAGTTGCTTTTGAAAAATTTGGGTATAGTCCTGATCATCTGATAAATTGAATTAAGAAACCAGGTCATTGGTTTAATAGATCAAAACAAATAATGATCAATAATTTAATCATAAATAATGTACAGAAAGCAAATATTTAAATGATATCAAAACAAACACGCACTAGCAAAAAGAAAACACATGACAAGACCAAGGCATAACAATACGCTTTCGAGAATAGTGGATGCATTATTGCACAGATCTAAGAAAATAAAAACGAAAAATAGGGATAACAAGATTTTACGGCTACCTGACTTCAGGATTGGTACAAATATTTCGGACCAATTGCATTCCGCAAATCCCAACAGCCACTCCGACGGCCGCGAACAAAGGATAAACCTAGACCGATCAAAACGCGTACAAGATCATCAGAACTGAGCATATATAAATTAACACCACCAGAAACGATTTTAGTCTTTATATTGTTGATAAAAAGGAGAAGATCTAGGGACGAACCTCAGGCCTGAGCCATCGCTTGAGAGTGGGTGAAGCCATTGGAGGAAGAACGCCGATTCACACGGAGAATATTTCGATTCAATGCTCTAAGGAAAGTTAGGCAACGCGTAGAGGGAGCTGCAGACGGAGAAATACAACCTATTTCTCGCTAGTTGTGCCTTTTTTTATATTATATTATATTCAAGATATTCTCATTGGCTGTTGCCCTGTGACTTTGCCATTTTCTCTTTAGGGGTTTTGTACAATTTTGAAGTATTTGGGAAAATGGCCGAAAAGGTCCCTAATCTATGTGGTTACCACGCAAAAGTCCCCCAACCTTTAAATCTTAACGCAAACATCCCTAACTGGAGATGTTGCGAAGCACCAAAATATACAAATTTCAACACCGTTTCGAGCCTGTAAACTATGCTGATGATTTCTAAATGTTCGATCCATCGCTATATCTACTCAGTAATCCAAATTCCCCCAGCCTGTTTTCCAGATCCGTCAATCCAAACGTCCCCCCAAACAATAGGCAAAATGCAGCATGGGAAGACATAATCTTTCCCACCTGATGCTGAAGAAAGCATACAAGGAATCTGCAGAAACGTGAAATAAGAAGCAAATTATGTACAAAGCCCAAGAAATCCTAATATAAAACTTTAAATGTACATTCTGCCACAGTATTTTTCCTTGTGCCTTAACACTACAAAAGAAAATAGCAGAATTCACTGCCAGAAACTTGGTTCCTTTGATGAGGTCCACCAGAAACTATTACATGAAGAAAAAAGACAGGTCTACTTTTGCATATGGAAACAGTACTATCGAACAAACACGACTCTAGCTTGGCCTCATGGGTCGGCCTATTTACGGAATTAGGGTAGACGTATGCCATTGACATAGCATCACAAGGTAGTACAATCCAAGCAATTCCGCACCCTCATGGTTTATTTAGTTTGTTAACAATGGATAAACTGGTGCAGCAGCATCTTCAACTGATCCAGAGCAAGCAAAAGTGAACATTTGAGACCCCTTTTAGGAAGAAAATATCAACATCTCCACACAAACTTAATATAGTTCTAGAATCAAACTCAACAAATAATGTGTATATACGTTGATGGTTATGAGATCACAGAGGCCATCAAAAACTGATGGAAACGCTGTACCCTCGCTTGGTCATTGTTTGAAGATCTCACTCCTGATTCATTTCTTCCCCTTCCCAAACGAATAAAGGAGTCCTCTGTGTCCAGGACATAAGAGATCTGAAAGCACAATTTGTGATTTCATAGCAAATTTAACCACAAAATTTATTTGAAAGGTATATTATCGACATACTAAAATGAAGATTCTGTTTGAACTAAAAGTCTACCTTGGATGTGGTGGCTGATGTCTTACATTCCAGACCATTATTCATCTGAATATTCCCCATAGCCAGACAGAGAGCAGAAGGCTCATCCATATTAGCATATTTACGCATATTTCTGCAAGTGTTATGAGAGCAGATCAGACCTTGAAATAAAAGAATCAAAATTTTGAGCAATTAATCAAATAAACTTTATGGTATCGGAGATCAAGTCCAGAAAAGAAATCAAGAAGAAGAACGAGACAATTTCACTTCTTAATTTTTTATTTTTTTCATTCATATATTTTCCTGGCGTTGATTCTTGGGAGATTAGTGGTAGTAAAACAGCTTTTGACACTACACTATCTGCTAATTTCTAGGGTTCTTAGTCATATTTTTTTCGAGCGTGATACTGCCCCCTTCTTTTAAATAAGAAAGATGTACTACATATCTGAGTTGCATAGCCCAGAAGGTAATAGCAATACCTCTTCAACATGACGGAAGATGACTCCTTTCTCCCATTAGTTACTGAAAGATAATCGTTGTAGAAATAGTCCGCGAAATCAGGGTCCACTGAAACTGGAACAACTTCAGATTTCTCATTTCCATCATCCATCAACTGAATAGACAAACGGGTGGGGGAAGATGTCTACAAGAACGCAAGATGACTCAGCATCCAAACAAACTTAGCATTAATATGATTATACAAGTAATTTATTCAAGCCTCCAAAAACCTACACATTCAACTCGGTAAATGTTCTCATCGTGCAAAAGGACATGCACATTTTCGTAATAAACCAAATCAACATAGTGCTCAGACTTCCGAAATTTTTCATACTCGTGCAATTGAAGCAGTTTATAGTCCACCTCATCACTCGATACAGTTTGGAGCTGCAGAACAAGGCATAGTAAAACAAAGTAAAGGAAATTGCCAAAAAGGTAAAACAAACGTTTTTAAGAAGATTACCTGTTTGACCAACTTATATATGAGCTTATCCAAAGTAAAGAGAACATATGACTGGTTTCCAATCAATGATCGGCAGTCATCCTCGAATTTTGAATTATCAGAAGATCCATCAAGCAGCCCAAAAAGCGCATTCTTGAATCTGCATTGAACATGTCATCAGAAAATTAAGGGAAGAAAGGGGTGTTCCAAAATGATTGTAAACTAGAAGCTATATACTGCTGAATCACCTGGTATAAGGATCTGAACTTGCATCCTTCGTGGTTTTCAATTTTGATTCTGCAGGTTCTGAGTTCATCTTGGCTGTTAATATTCTCTCATAGAGTATCTAGAAGCATGAAAGAAAATCACACGTCAGGAAGTGAAAGATGAAAAAAGCATATAGAGATTTGAATTCTCTTTTACTTTTTCATTGGATTTTTTCCTTGTTTGGATTCTTTTGACAAAGGGGAAGAGGAAGGGGGTGGGGCGGGGGCTACAATAACTTCTACCTGATGCAGCCTGAAAAGCACGTAAAAAGTGTCATTCCCGTAGAAAACTCGACGATCATTTCCATCACTGCCTTTCGATGGAGAAGCCGTGTACTTCGACAGAGGTTTACAGGGGAGCAAAAAACGCTCAGACACTGGTATCAATGCACCTTCACCTGCATCCTCAGCGTCAACTTCACTCTCTGCTTTACCATCCATTTCTATGTCTCCCTCTTCCTCGTGTTCTTCTCCTGAGCCTTCATCGGCAGCAGACTCGCTACCCGATGCATCTTCACCAGCTTCACTGTCCTCATCATCAGCATCTGCATCATTTTCAGCAGCTCCATTTGGCGAAATCTCTTCGTGACCTCTTGTTCTATCGGCCATGGATTGTGAGCCACCATCCTGATAGGCAGCTATATTTTCTCCAAAATTGCCATTAGAAGAAATTTTATCCACTTCTTTATCACCTCTGCTGGCATCAACATAATCCTCATCATACCCAGCCAGTCTTGACCTTTCCACACACCCTTCATTTGCTAATTGATTTGATCTTGAAGTCTCATCACCCTGTTGCACACAAGGAAACATATTATACCTAGATTACAAAAAACAAATAAAAGAAGGAAAGAAAGTAAAGCAACTAAGCTTATCTACGCCCCAGCAAAATTAAAATGTAAGCTTAAAAAGAAGTTGAACCAAGGGGTAAAAATAGGGGAATAAGTGGAACAAGTATTAGAAAAAATGTGTCAACTTCAGCCCAAAATGGGGCTCTAAAAGTCTAGCTAAAGCCATACACCGTACCTCTGAGCACAGTGTAACTTCCATATTAAGCTTGGACCTATGATTGTCCTCACTGGGATCAATATTAGCTCGAGAAGAATTTGCAGCACGCCCTTGTAGTTGAAAATAAATGTTATTCCATTATAGCAGATCAAAAGCATATATAAATCAATAAAATTGAAAGGGAGATGAGAAAAAAAATTCCACTATAATTCACACTAAAAAACTATCAAAATATCAACCATTCCTCACAGATCAGTAACACCATAGAACCAAGTGTTCAACTACATACATACCATGATTTGCATCAGGTTCTAAGGTAACAGCTGTATCAGACTTGGGTAATCGTCCACCAGATGCCACAGTTGACCCATCTTCTTTAGCCAGAGTATCCATATTTGTGAAGCTCGTCTTACAGGAATTGACTCGTTGAGGTGATGTGTTTGAATCTCCATTGCCGTTGCGCTTCGGTTGCTTCAAGTTCATGGTAGTAGCATCAGCATTTCCATCGCTTGCAGTTATGCTTGTCAATGTGTTTTTTGCAGTTCCAATTTTCGAGAAACCATCACCTTCATTAACGTCTGAACTACGACGAAGGGAATGAACACCCAGCATTGGCTCAAGAAAAGTAGTATAGAACCTCAAAACTTTATTTAACTGCTCTTTCGTTGAGCAGATCTCTTCGGAAGAGTACTTAATAATTTCATATAAGTCTTCGTGAATGTCAGCATCAGCATATTCAAATTCAAGATTTGGATGGATGGAATATCTACTTCCAGCAGCAATATCGAGAGGCACATGAACTTCGTTTTCATTTTTCTCCTTGATCTCTTTTATTTCTGCTACCAAGGCTGTCAATCAAAAGAGAGCGAAAAGAGACGTCAGAACCAGAAGATACATTGAAACCATCCCTAGATCCTTGGTAACCTTAACATGCCATGTTACTTTTGGTAATACCCTCCCTATTCTAGTGAGATAGCAACACTCTCATGAGAGGGAACCTATTAAAGTCTCCGAAAAACATATCCCAACTTGACAAGTGATGGCTCCTGAAGATACTAGAAATAGAACCAATCTAAAATGGATAGTCATCGTCTGTCTGCTCATGCAAGAATTTAATAAACACAATAATATAGAGATTGTGTCATCAAGATCATCACAATCCAATTTACTTAAGTTCAGATATGGTGGGCAAAAGCATAACTTGCTGGCTATGGTAATCGCTATAAGAGCTATGTGCATACCAGATTCAGAGACAAGATGCAACTAAGGATTTTATATAATCTCAATGCTCAGCTTACATTTCGTGCTCAAGTTCTTCGAATCCTGTTGCTTGAAATAAAAGCTCCGATGATCAAGAGACTTGTAATGGTTCTTAGCATAAATCTCTGCCCATACTTTGTTGAAATCTGCACGACATTTGGTCCATTCCTCTTGCTTCTGCTTCAGGCGGGTAAGTATTACAGACAATGCAAGTGATGGATTTTTGCGCAAAATGTCCATGACATCAAGACCATGGTCCCCATATAGACGTTCGATGCATCTCAAATTCAGAGCTTTATAAAGAAGTGATAGAATCAATCATCACAAAAATAGATATCTATTTGTTTACAGTATATGGAGGCAAGTATAATAGCTTTCAGTACAAGCTCATGTTTAATAATGGCGAACCTGTGAAATGTTCCTCGACACGTATGGGATTGTCGGAACCAGCTGGATTATCAGTTATACTGTTCAGCAGGTCCTCTGCACGCTTGGCAGCCGAGCTCACAGACTCCAACAACATGTCTAGCTCAAATCTGAAATATAAGAGGAAAATCCAATGGATATAAAATTAACAAATTAGGAGAAAGTCTAGTCGATAAATAAATATAGTAAAAGGAAGTAAAAACAATGGCAGATCTAAATATTCCATTACTGGGACACATGAATATGTAGTAGGAACATAAAAAAGGTTTCCTCTCCTTAATACCGTACTTGCATGTTTCATAAGAAGAATTATATAGCACTGGGCAAGAAAAAGAAGATAAATCTTGTTCATTATGTTATCCACTTCTATCCAATAATGGTTACTAAACATACTCTATAAGATATAGGTTGGAACTCAAAGACAAGCACTAGACCATCCTAAAGAATTGGGATAGGATAAACCCAACATTCCACATCTTATGTTGACCAGGTAAAGGGCTCAAAGAGAAGCACTAAGCCACTTCGAATAAAGTGAGGTCTAGTAAAACCAATTTATTTTAATTTTATATCACTAAGCATTAAGGACAGTTTATTATTTTTATTACAAAGTCACACAAATTTTATTCTATACCTGTCATCTTCACACCTAAAAAGGCTTTCTTCATACTGATTTCTGCGCATGTGCTTAAATGAGTAATCCTCACTTCCAGATGTCACAGATACCCAATGGTCATTTAAAACCTGAGCGCCAAGCTCCGATCTCTGGCTTGCTGTAGCCATTGGATACTGCAAAGATAACTTTTTTATAAGATACCGCGAGAACAAAAATGAAGGTAAAACTGTAGCCACTGGACTAGGACAATTTTAAATGGAAGAAGTAGAGATAATAAAAATTCTTACATCTTCGGGAAGAAGTCGGTAACTGGGAGTGCAACGTTGACGGTTAGATAGATCAAGCTCCTGAATGGACTTTCCTGAGTACTTCAAACTGGGTCTGTCCTTTTCTTTACCTCCATCCACTTCACGCTTTTTTTCTTTGTCTTTATCCTCTACTCTCAAGGCTTTTGAAGAATGTCCATCATTCCACAACATCTCTGCCATAAATGTAAGTTTGAAACAGCTTTGTTAGATAACATACAGTTAACATGCAAACAAATAATCAAAAACATATAGTAGGATAATGATGTACTTTTGCCCATAACACCAGCAAGAAATCCTTCTGCAGAATAGAAAATCAAGTAAGAATCAAAACAATCTAATCAAAATATACAACTTTAACTACAATAAAATTCAGTGATTACCGATTTGCTCACAGCGCTCAAAAAATTCATTGAATCCCTCCATAAGATCAGGATGTTTTCCAAGTAAATCAGCAATCTGAAAATACCTTGTTTAGTACCAGATAAAGAAATGTGTTTAATATGTAGCTCAGTAAATAAAATAGAATACAGTCTAAGTCTAATAGGAAATTAAAGATAAAGCAATAAAGATGCACTGGAATATGAAAAATTAAAATATAAAAATTGTTGCTATCCATTTGAAAGATTTAAGGTGCAACTTGAAACTACTATGGAAACAATTGGGGGAGAGAACTGAAATGTGTATCACATGGTGCACGAAATAGATACAACTGTTACAACTTCTGATATCCAAAGGTCCCGGGTAAATTGCTAGAACGCATTGATGGCATAATATACGTACCAAACTCTGCAATTCCTTTCTCGTAATTATCTCTGTGCTGTAAATATGAAGACATTTCAAAAATGCCTGGTAATCATCTGCACTGCGCAACCGCTCCTTAACTTTTTCACAGAAAGCAAACTCCTGACTGTACATACCTGGAATAACCAAGCAAACCCTTTAAAAATACCAGATAGCAGGTCAAACATAATTATGTGACACTACATTATGTAATGCTCTACAACTTTGTTTACTGTATCTATTTTCTTCTTCTTTTTCTTATTTTAACTTTATTTTTCTTCTTTTTTTATGCGTGGGTGGGTGGGGAGTGTGAGAGTGACTAATAGTTGCCCTAACTAGTGCATTGAATGTACTCATTTCTCTAATGGTTTAACCATCACCAAATGGTATATCTTATTCCTGAAGGAAAACAATGAAATACATGTTTGAACATATAGGATTACATGGGGTAATAGGCTGTCCGTGCAACTGGGGATCGGGGGTGGGTGGGCAAAAATTACGCTAAATAGTGCATTGAAAGTACTAATCATTTCTACAACCACTAACCCATCACAAAATGGAATGTCTAATTCCTAAAAAGGAAAACAACAAATACATGCTGAACAAATAGGATAATATGAAGTAAAATGCAGTTCAAGCACGTAAGACCATAGAAGTGCCGGAACTCCAAATAATAAGGCACCACCCACTCACGTTTCAATGCATCTTTATCATCATGAGAGACCATATTTGAGTTCCCTCCAAAATCATCAACCTTCTGAGCAGATTTACTTTTGTCAGAATGGTGATGCATGCTAATATCCCCATTATTTTCATTGTCGGTATCTCTGTTGTCCGAATAACGAGTTCTCTTGTCTTTGTTCTCCCTTTCAGCACGCCTTTTCCGATCCTTGTGCAACGTCATCACTGTTTTGTCCTCTTCCACTTCTGGACGCTCGACACTAGGATCATGTTCTCCGCGGGAGATCATAATCTTTTCCCGTCGTAATCGTTGCTAAAAAAGGTATGGGACATAAGATTCACATTGATAAAGAAAATCAGAAAATTAGCAAGTTTTTCATTGTGTGTTTAAGTACATAATATATATAACCTTATCCATGTGAGAGTGTCGCATTGTGGGCATAGCAGAGCTCCTCTCATCAAAACGATGAAAGGAATGCCGGCCAAAAGAAGCAAGTGCCGTTGAGTCTGTAGTTGAGGTATCAGGCAAAAATCTAGTAAACTGTTGAAGAAGATCTGGATGGTCAATAAAAAGTGCCGAAACCTGCATGTAAATGTGTTACAACCAAAAATTATAAGAATAGATGATATAGACAATAGTAGGGGGTAAAGCTCATAAGATTAGAATAAAAATATTTCAGAAGATACGAGTACCTCTTCATAGACATCGGCAATACCCTTATGATCCTTTCGGTACATGTTCAAGATTGCTAGGAAATCTTTATAAACCCGATCATCGTCTTGGAAACGGTTCTGCAGCAAACAAAATCCATTAGATATTTCGGGATAATCTGACTTCCAAAGAACTAAATCCAGAACGTATTACTAATTAAGTGATTGGAAATATCACCTTGATCTTATTCACAAAATTTATAGCTTCGTCAAACTCAACTGTTCTTTTTGGAGCCCCTTCCTCTTCAGTAAGGGTGATTTCATAACCTTTAGGTAAGAAGGTATTGAAACCAAGGATAAGATTAGGATGCCCTTTAAATAACTCTTTCACCTTCAATATCACGCCAGTTGTGTCGATTCTGCAAGAAATATATTAACATAAAGTTACAAAGAAAAGCTCCATTCACAGCCGATATGCACAAGTTAAACTTAGCAAGAGAGATCCGTTTACCTTTGAGCTTTGAAATCTTTCATGACATCAAGGAACCTGTCATATTTTTCTTTTTGATCTTGGAACATGTCCTTAACTTCCTTCAAATAAGTTAATGCATCATTGGTCGTAAGTTTTTGAATACCACCAGTAGCACCACCTCCTCCACTCACTCCAGCATCACCTGCACCACCTCCTCCTCCAGAGGCATGCGGTGATCCATAGCTTTATCACAAGAGAAGGGTAAAACATATAAGTTGCAAATTAAAATCCTGAAAATGCAAGTTTTTTTTGAATTATGGGTTCTCTTGCCTACGCTTTTAGAGCATGATTGTTACAAGGTATTGGACATGACAACAGAAAAATTTTGAACTTCTTTTTCTTCTACAATCATCCAATATGTTCGTCTCCAATGTACCAAACATGCCATTAAGGTTTTGTTTTCGTCATCTCGACAAACTTAATTAAATTCAATTACCTCCTAAGGTTGTTCCATAAGGTAATTTAATTAGTCACTACTACCTACAGCCAGGTTAAAGCAAACCTCCCCTTAATACAGCCAAAACACCATTAATAGGCTTAGTTGGGAAGTTACAGATTTTTCCTCGCCCACCCACTCCTACCCGGCCCCACAAAGAAGAGGTGAAAATAAAACCAAAACAAGCCCCCAAAAATGCAAAACCACCACCGAATACAAAGATCCAAATCTGTGATTTCTGTTACAATTTCTTCTTCATCTTCTGATGCTGCCATGGAGGAGACCTAATCAGACTTCCAGACTCATGATTAAAAACATGAACCAAATAATTCTGATCACAAAAATTTACTGAAATTCAGTGAATTAACTAAGAATGTTGTCATAAAAACATAACCTTTTCAATGAAATAAACGAACACAACTTCAGAACAAAAAATCACATGATAACACAGATATGAAATACAAGTAAATCAATCAGATAACAGGAAATGATAGAACTCACGATTCTCCTCGAGAAGAAGAACCAAATGGCCGCTTAAATTGAGGGTTCATATACACCTCATCTCGCTTCATCCTTCGGCAAAAACAAGACAGATAAATCAATATAACTTTAAAGAGAAGAAAAGAACAATAAAAAACTCATATTCTTTTTCCTCTCATTTCCTTTCAAAACCGACCTGTGCAGGTCCCTGAAAAGAGAAAGAAACAGTAGCAGATCTAAATCTCAACAAAAAAATATATGGAAATCAGTTGAATTCTTCAATCAAACTCTTGTTCACACGAACTCTTATCTCAAATCTTCCTTCTCTCTTCTCTCTCAGTGGGTTCCCGTTTCTGAGGATGGAGAAGAAAGCAAAACATACAAATATATGAAGAGAAACAAGAGGTAAATACGTGACAGAAATCGTGATGTTCTTATGTGACATGTACTCCAATTGTCGACATTTTGAACAAGTTCATGGGCCTTCGTTCTTATTATTTCTATCACTGATTTTGTAACAATTTTTTCGAGCCCAAAATGAATTGATAACCCTTTCGGTTCCTTGGCAATATTCTTTGACAACCATTATTATTATTATTATTATTATTATTATTATTATTATTAGTGATTTTTTTAATAATATGTGGCTAAAAATTACTGAAAATTTTCTGAATTTAAGTGCAAAATATTTTATCGTGAGAATGTATGATTGAAAATAAGTTTGAGAGAAAAAAAAAATTTGTTTAATGACTGTCAAACAAGGACTTAATTTATGCGAATGAAAAAAAATGGGAAGAAAAAAGAAATGCCAAAATTGAGTCCAAGTAAGAAAATGAAGTAATGATGTTGAAGCATGAAAATTTTTATTGTGTGTCGAGTTTTTTAGTTAGATTCGATAAAGAGTCGAGACATTAATACGTGTTAAATACTTGTTTTCATTGATTATAGTGATGATCGTAAAAAGATATTGATTTGTTTTATTATGTTTTTAGTACGATGCCTGGAAGAGAGATTAATATATTTTGGTAATTTAGTTTTAAGTTAATATGTTGTCATATATATATAGTCATACTTGGCATTCAGGTATTTATTTCAAAAGAAACTTGTTTAAAACTACCTATAGGTTGTAGGGGTCGGGTAATTGATGTGAGATGGATCCAGAAAAAGGGGGGGGTTCTAGTTATAATCCAGAAACGATTTAATATATATTTTCACAGAAACGTGAAATTAAAGTATGCAACAAAGTAGCTGGAAGACACGGAAATAGAGGTATCATTTCCAAAATTTTGCCAAGACAAGATATGCCTTATCTACAAGATAGAAGACCTGTTGATATGGTTTTCAACCCATATGAGCTGAATTTGAGAAGAGATTGACGTGTGCGCGACTAATAACCTACTTAAAAGCAAAGTCGAAAGTCCTTGTAGTTGCATGTTGAGCTTTTTATTTGGATTCAACGAAGAATCAAGTTAACATGTTTTGAATACTCTCTTTCAATGATGACAGTTATGGCCGTATTGAACGGAGATTGTGTTGTTTATTTATTTTATTCATAATTGTATTACGCGTGGATGCGATAATTAATAAAATTAACATTTAGTTTTAACTGAATATCTTATAGTATACTTTTTGGGATCTTTTTAGTTAAAATTTGAAGACACTAACATGTGTGACGAACGAACATATGACCTACTTTAGTTCCGTAACGGAGTTGAATGGGAGGAAAAGAAAAGCAAAAATGAAACTCTTCGCAAGCAAGTTTTGATATCAAAGCATGTGAGTTTTCATGGCATATATTGATATTTAAAGTTGGATTTCGCACATATATAGTCACGATGTTAACACATGTTAAATATTTAATTTTATTGCTTATTGCGTTGGTCATAATGAACGGAGATTATTTTATGTTTACCATATTATTTGTAAGACATTCACGTGAGATAATTAATATATGGAGATAATTAAGTTTTATTTGAACATGCTATCATATTGACGATCGGATATTTTTCGAAATCTATAAGGTAAAATTTAAAAGACATTGATCCGCATTGAGAAATGATTATGTAATGCACCTTAGTTAATTATTTATTGTAATGGCTCATATAATAATATCTCGTACTAACAAGTAAGATTTGACAAAACATGTGAACACAAAAATATATTAATACAATTATTGTCATAGGAAATCTGCAACAGTAGCAAAATAAGATTTTATTATCAATATATATTTAGATTTCAATAAATAATTTTTAATTGATACATTCATTTGTTAAAGATATTTATCAAACTCATATTTTGATGTGCTTATAAATACTTATATTTGTTAGGGTTCACCTTTTTGGTTCAAAATGAACAAATTGTGAACCCCATACGGGAATAAGGCTTAGGAAAATTCTTGATGTACAGACTAATTTTCACATAATCCTCACAGAATTTCAAAAAAAATTGAGTGATGTGGCCCAAAATAGAAGGAAGGAAAATGAAAAAGCGGGAAAACATGTAAATAGGAAGGAAAAAAGAGGGAAGAAAGACCATTACCCCCAAAATTCTGCCATAGAAACACTGACCCATTTTCAGCTGTAAATTCCCGATCGTCTTCGTCGACGGGAAGAAAGTGTTGGAGGAATTTTGTGAATAGTGACGCCAAAATAAGTATAATGATGGTTTGTAAATCCGTGTCGAAAATTGGACAGAGTAACGGCAAAGAAAACACAAACAAGAAGAAGAAGAAAGTAGGGACAAAGCGAGGCAAGAGTTGGACTCTTTGTCCTTAAGTCGAATTTGCCCCGCAACAGTGCCTACGAATTTCGGCAATCGACTCCCAAGATACAACGGCTACACTTGTGTTTGTAGCACTCCAAAACACAAGTATAACGAACCAAATTTAGGTTTATGTACTCCAAGGATGAAATGAAGGAAAATCAAAATAAATGAAATGATTTTAATTTTGGATAGAAGAGAGGATGAGAGATGTTTTGCATATCAAATTGTGTGGAATAGGACACCCAACGGGTCCTATTTATAGACCATAAAAAGGTGTGGACGAAATGGTTAAGGCCAAACCATGCATCCTTTTCAAACAATGCACCTTTATAAAAATGTGTCTATTCACCGGACAACCGTGCGGCCGCACGGTTTTACTCAAAAAATTGGAATTGAATTTGACGTGTGATTGCGCGGTTTACCAACCATGCGGTCGCACGGTCAAATATTTTGACCTAATTTTCGTCATTTTTCGTAATTTCTCATTCATCCGATATTGATTTTCGAAATGCCAAATATACCCTTCAATACATGAAGAGAAATCAAAATTCAGGTCGATCCCTGTTTGTGCGCCCCGAAGCGGCGAAGTGGCAAACAATTTTGCCTAAACGGATTAAGTCGAGCTTTTGAAAATTTGGCCGAAGTCAATACGAAGTCACTTTAATCGAATTTCAATTCTCCATTTATTTAACCAATATCCAGAAAGACCATCTGACCATTATCCCCTAAACCGAGCCCTAGAAACACTAAAAACCCAACCCATCCGCAACTGAAATTCCAGTAGATGAAGGCAGATGATTTCCCCGTAGATTAACGCAGCTGATTTTCCCCACCCATTCTT